GTAGGGTACCAGGGATGAGGAAAAACTGGGGAGGGGAGTAAAAACTGCTAGGTAGGTAAGTGACAAGTATTGATTTAGCTGAAGGCAAAGGGAGAGAGAGAGAAGGAGGGACGGAGGGAGGGGAAGAGAAAGAGAAAGAAAAAAACAAACTACTTGTAGTATTTCTGTCACAGCAGCGCTAGTTGTCTAAGCCACCAAGTCCCCTTCATCACTCACCTAAACTTGTATGGAGCTCTGTTCTCTCTACTTCCATGCCCACCACTTCCACACCATCCTCTCTACATGGCCACCAGAAAGATTGTAGGGGATTTTAAACAATCCCTCAACCCCACCTCACCCCCCATCAGCTTTCCACTGCATTTGAATAAAATCTTTCCACGACATTCAAGGTCCCCCAAGAACTAGCCTCTGGCTTGCCCCCCTCAGTTTATGCTCCACCCCAAACCAAACAAGCCCATTGCCGTGGAGTCATTCCAACTCAAGGCGACCCTACGAATCAATGAATGAAGAACGTGAGCTTCTGGTTGCCAACCCATTTCACTCATGGAAAGACTGAGGCTCAGGGCACATGATTTGCCCTAGACACTACAGCAAGCCTTGGAAGGTAATCAGCCCTCCGAGAAGCAAGCCCATCAACCCAGCCCTCTGTGCGTCTCTAGGGAGAGGTAGCCTTAAAAAGCAACATTTGGGGGCTAAGCGCCATATTGAATTAGTGGAAGGAATGAGAGACCCTGTGTAGTAAGGACTGTGCCTAGCTAGGCTAGGTCCTCAGTGCCTGGGAGGTGACCTGGAAGTCCCTGGAGGTTCTCAAATGGTGGCAGTGTCTTTGATATTCCTGGTAGGAGAGGGCTTATACTAATGAGGCTCACAGTTTATGCAAATGGAATGACTCAGGATAGAGGCTGGACTCCCTGCAAAAAAGCGCGTGATTACAAGGTTAGGGCTGGGACGCAATTGGACCCGCCCCGCCTCCCAGGGGCGGGGCTGGAGGCTGAGTTCAATCCCAGGTCAGTGAGTCCATCAATCACGCCCCTGTAATGAAATCCAAAGGAAACCTCTGGCTGCTGACTCATGGGAGCGTCCCTGGTTGGCAGGGTTCTATACGAGGGTGACGCATCTTGACTCTACAGGGAGAGGCCAGGGGGCGCTTCGTCTGTGGGACCCTCCCGGCCTTCCCCTGGGCCTCTTTCGGATCTGTACCCTTTGTCTATAATGAAAGTGTCATTTTAAGTACAGTATAACGTTTTCCTGACTTCTGGGAGTCACTCTAGCCTATTATCAAACCCAAAGGGGGAGGGGCTGTTAGATGCCGTCAAGTTGATTCTGACTCCTAGTGACTCCATGTGACAGAGTAGACAGAACTGCTC